AAAGATGAAAGGTCAAAAGATTTTTTTATATGAATTTTTTTTTTAATCTTTTTTAGAACCTTGGAAATTTTGGTTAAAAATCTTGTTTTTCTGTCATCAACGTGAAATCATAAATTTGTACAGTGCATTGAAAAAGAAAATTGATTTGAAATTCCTGCAAAAATCAGATAATTGTTGGATTTTAATGAAACTTTCAAAACATATACAGATATTAATTAAATTATTTTTTAAACATTTCTTTTTTTTTAGAAAATCTTTGTAAAAATATATATTGTTTTTACATGTTACCTCCCACTCATTTAATTCTATGAAATTCTGAGAAATTCTTTTTTGCAGAACTTATTGCTTATATTAGTTATAAGGACAAGTCCTCAGAGAATTTAAAACTTATATTTTTTGTCAAACAGGATCCAAAGTTCTAGAAAATCTGTTCTGAATTGTAAAAATAAGAAATGCAATAAAACTAAGGCAATATTTAATTAGAAAAGATTTTAATTGCTTTTATGAATAAAAAAAATTGCACACAAATGTTTTGATGAAGAATTTTTACAAGAACTGTTTCCATGTTTTAAAATTTTAATTAGGATAATTTATAAACTTTTAAATCTTAAAATTCTGTATTAATTTGTATTGGTCAAGTGATATTGTTATTAAATTAAAACTATATTTACAAATCATAAATAGAAAACTACAATTCAATGACCACAGTATTTTAAAATGAATCTTGAATTTATTTTATATGTATAAACGTGTCAATTTTTGTAATTTGCATTTATAAATGCCCAGTAACTATAGTAAATTTAAAATTTATTGGTAATTTTCTCACATTTCTTCAACAAGTGTCTTTGTAAGTAAGCCAAAGTAACTAAAATTCAATAGTATATTAGAATGCTTAGAATATTTTCTTAAATTTTTGAAATTTACTGATTTGTTAAAAAAATTACATCATGAAGAAAAAAAGCCCTAAACTTGATAAAAACAAAATTTTATTGCAAAAATGTTTGCTATTATTAACAGGAAAGACCAAAGTATTTTTTGATTATTTAAACTTTTTTACACTTTCTAACATGTTCAAAGTTTTGGGCTAAAAAACTTCTTTCTTGTTTTTCTTGGACCAAAGATTAGTATAAGGAAATTTGGCGTCTTTTTTGTGGTAAAAACACATTTTGAAAGTTCTTGAAAAAACCAAATAATTGTTGAATTTTCATGAAATTTTCAGCACTTATTTACAAATGAATGAAATTGTTTATAAAATTTTTTTTTTTTTTCTTTTTTAGAAAATCTTGGTAAAAAAATTTTTTGTTTTCATCTGTTACCCACCCTCCCCCGCCCAATTGATTTTATGAAATCTCAAGAAATTTAAAATTCCATCCTCTTCATATTTATATTAGTTAGAAGCAGAAGTCCTTGAAGAATTAAAATCATCAATTTGTTTTTGTCAAACAGAAACACTGAAATTCTGAATAGTAAAATAAAAAATGCAGTAAAACTATGACATTAATTAGAAAAGCTTTTAATTACTTTTATAAATAAGTATTAAGGACATTATTGTCTTAAGATAAATTTTTTTTCAATAAATCATGAATTTTTACAAGAATGTAAAACTAATTTTCTGTGTGCTTGCAAAAATGTAAGAATTATGAATTTTTAATATTTGACTTCTGTTATTTATTGCATAAATTTTTTTGTGTACCATTTTTTTCATTAAGCTGAAATTTTTGTCATTGTTATTCTCTGACTCAAATGTAAATTATGGATTTTTCCATCACTCCAAGTATATAATTCAATGCTAATGACAACAATTTGCATTTAGTTATTGATGGAATTTCAGTTTTATCTGTAAGAGCATCAAATATGCACTCTAATCAGTGCCCAGAATTTGTTTAGTTCATGACAGTAATTTCTGTTTTTTTTTCTCTTCTTCAAAAAGAACACAGAACTAGAATATTTTAATTTTAATTCTGCACATATACAGCTAAAGAAGAAAGGAACAGATTATGCATAAAGTCTGATATTATACATGTATTATATTTTTACATCTTCTACACAAAAGTAAAATTTTATAGGTTTTCCTAAACAAGTTTTATTGATGCAATTTAAATTCAGATTCAAGTAAGAAAAGTTTAAAAAATTAAATGGTTCACTAATTCCTCTCTCAATCAAATTAAAGTTACCATTGCATTTAGTAAACATCAACTAAGTTTCTCTTTCCACTATTAATGGGGGGAAAAATATTGTAAACCAATTTTTTCTGTTTGAGCAAATTCTTATCTTGAGATTAAAAATATACAACAAGCAAGACTTAATCATCATTGCTAGCAAAGCAGATGTAGTTATATTTTAAAGTTAAAACAAAGTTCAACTCAAATTTGACAGGGGAAGATAATTCTGATTAACCGAGTGTCTTTAAATAAAAAAAAATCTACAGCATGAAATTATTCTGTTTTCCAACACCCTAAGTCAAGTCCTCCTGTTAATACACTACTGACTAGTTTTTAAATTTCATTACTTAAAACTAACAGTTGCTTAAGGATTACATCAAAATTTAGTGACATTTTTTTTAACTCTTTTTTTTTTTTTTTTTTTTTTAAGCAATTCAAGGATTTTTAAATTTATTTTTAAGCAATTCATAGATTTTTTGATCTGAAATTTCATATTACTCTCAACTGGCTTAGAGATGAAGAAAATGTGCCTCCATTTGTTTACATATTAGATATGAAAAATGAAGTTAGCAGAGATACTTTGAAAGGTCTAATGAGAGATGTCTTTCTTAACTGGGGTAAATGTGCTTTGTTTTGCTATGATGGTTTTCCGTGGTCTAATAGTAAGGTGCACTTGACTTAAAAGTAGTTTCCCAAATAGAAAAATAATATAGGTTCAATTCCTGTAGGCAGGCACATTTCCTTTAGTATGACCTCAATAAGCATTAATTTCATTGTTTAAAAAACAAGCATGTCTACACAAACACTGTCTAATAAATGTAATATCTGTTCTTCTTAAGATAACAGTTTTACTTTGAATAAAAAAAAAACTAAAAAAGAAATAAAACTCCAAAAATTGATTAAGACTGAAGCCAGTTATTGATTCTCATGTTATACCCTCTGCTACACAAAAATTGTTTCTCTTGTGCTATCGTAAAGCAAAAATATTGAGCCTCAAACAAAAATATTGATTCTCATGTGATATCCTAAAAACGATATTGATTCTCATGTGATACCCACTACCACACAAAAAATATTTTTCTCTTGTGATATTCTAAAACAAAAATATTGATTCTCATGTGATGTCCTAAAAATTTCAACAATTCACGTTTGTAAGTTTTATATTTTTTTCTTTATTTTGGCAAATAGTTACTTTATTCCTAAGTCATAAAACTGACTATCACTTGACAAGTAGAATAAGTTAAAATCTGAGAAAGATGCTTATGAAAATCGTGTTCCTCCTAAATGAATTTCAGTATTCTTTCTGGCATATTGTTACTTAATTCTTATTTTAAAATATTCCCCAAATATGGTTATTAGCAAATATCTTGTGCAGTTTCTGAGAAATATCAGTGCTATATTTTACTAGCTTATTTTTTAAATCTTTAAGTAAATTGATTTTCATATGTAATTATTTTTAATAAATTACAAGTGAACAAATTTTGTTTATGTGGCACATAGGGAAAAGGCATTAAAGGTTTTTCAAAAAGTAATATCATATTTAATATATGCAAATTTAGAACCAATCAACTAGTGATGAATCAAGGTTATTTAGTAAAGGAGAGATAGATTTATTTTAGCTTGTCTTTTATCAGATTATATCTTAGTTTATGATAACATTTCATGAGAAATTTCAAAGAATAACCTATTCACCATTGTATGTTGTATGAATTTCTTTAAAAGAAGTTGCAAAATGCAATATTTGTACTGTGTATTCAGGTGCAATGACTGCAGAAATGTCACTGATACTTTAGATTTATCAAAACAGCACAATGCATCATGATCAACTATAGAGAAACTGGAAAATGTTTAAGAAGAATATTTGGATTCATTGCAAAGTCTCTCCTAAGTGAATCAAGTACAAACAATGCTCAGCTATTTACAACTGTCTGTTGAACAGTAATGAAAACCTCCTTTTTCTTTACAAAATTATACATGACTTATGGATACTGTGTATTAGTAATGTATGTAAAAAGCAGTGGTTACTAATCTATATCAAACCAAAGCTTGATCCACAGAAGGCTTCTAGTAGAACAATTGTCTAAAATGGATCTGGAAAACTCATTGCTACTGACATTTAGTGCCAATGTGAGTTCTGATACAGTGAAAATGTGCAACTTTCATTAAAAGGAAAAACATTTCATCTCTCAAGAAACAAGAAAATAACCATTTTAGATTGAGAATTTTTTCTCTATATTCATCAGTGATAATCTGTTTTCTTAGTGCCAGAACATTCAGAAATAATGAATTTCTTTAAATTAAAGTATCAAAAAGCAAATAGAAAAATTACTTCGTAATTAATATAATTGCTCATGGATGCAGTTATGTCATTGATTTATAAAATTTATTACATTTGCATCTATTTTTATCTTTTATATACCATTTCATTTTATGAACAAAGTGTCACAAGTTTTCAGATGAAGTAAAAATGGTATTTTCCTTCCAAAGTAAATTTTGTTATTTCTTAAAATGAATATGAACACTGATAAATTTTGTAGAGAACACATTGGGTATTAAGAGATATCTTTGAAGTATGGGACCAATAAGTCTGTACTTCATCACTGTTGTTCATTTGCTAAACTGAATGAGAAAAATTATTCTTTATGTATTCTTCCTGGAAAAATAATTTCCATCTCATGAATTAGATAAATAAAAATCTGTTGTCAAAACCGTTATAAAGTTAATTTCATAAATTGACTGAATAATGACTAATAAAGATTTAAACATTTTCCAAAAATTTTGCTTATATTTAATTAATACCTCTTAATACAATTTATTTATTTAATATTCTACTCACAGGTGGATTCCCAGCTGTTTCCAGCTGTTACAACGTGTTGTGAAAAGCATGACATCTGTTATGACAAGTGCAACAGTGATAAAAGTAAATGTGACACAGACTTTCAAACCTGCCTGCGAATGATTTGCAAAAACTTACACAAAGCTACTGGTGGTACAGAACTCTATGAGGGTAAGCAGAAATTGTGTTTCTCTGATTTTAACAAATATTCTACTATCTCTGCATATTGCAGAAAGTTAAACAAATGCTGTCTAAAATGCAAACAAAAAGAAATAATAAATACTTTCTGATTTCTGTTTTACAGCATTTTTTCTTTTCTTTTGCAGGTTGAAAATTTACTATGATATTTTTAATGTGGAAAAAGTGAAAGTTAATTTTTGGGATTTCCTATTCAACATGGCTCTTTTTTTTCTTTACTTTCCCAAAATTGCAAATAAGAAAAACTAATCTCCTAGACAAAGTAGTAAAGGAAACAGGAAAGAAGAACTAACCATTAGAATGGTCAATATCAAGAGGATGAGCCCAAGATGCAAGCTACAAATCTGAAATCAGAGATGTGATGCCCAAAGGTTTCTTGATTTTAAAAATGAATTTATACTTCAAAATCCAGTTTAACACTCCCTTCTTACACCTAACAAAATTGCCTTATGCATCATTTAGAAATACATGTTTCCCCAGTTAAGAACCACTAAAATTAGATTGTCATGAATTATATAAAGGAAAAGTGAGAACTGATACTGAATGTTACCTGGATATTTGTTTCTTCACTTAAGTTAAAGCTTATGACAATTCCTAAAGAGTGAATAATGTCCAAACTTTATTGACCTTTGTATCAAATAGAATTTTCTCTTTTTTGTACAAAGCAAAAGAAACTAGTTTACCCATGTCATTGACTTATGATATTTTGTTAAGTCAACACTGTTATGAGAAGGTACTTATTCTTTTTTCATAATTAATTTTTATTGTTCTTTTTTTACATGTCTTTTCAATTCCTGTCTCTGTAATCATCTTGGAACATTTCATGATTATAATAAGAAAGATACTGCCACTTGGCATCACTAGTGCAATGGAAATAAATCCATTACAGCAAAAAGAAAATATACATATGGCATATTATATATAGATTATAGCAAAATCTATTAATTTTCTACAAGCAAATTAGCCATTCTCAAAATATTCCTTATCACATCAATGTGTGACCCAATCTATTAATTTCTAATCTTCATGGTTCACTCTTTGACCACTTTTTTAATCTCTCATATCAGTTATCAGTTAAGTTTTTTGGTAGGTTACACACATGCATGTTATTCTCTATATAAGTGTCTCTGTGTAGAGTTGATTGACTGATATCAACAGAACTTATTGTATTACCTGTATATTGCCAAAGTTTCAAAAATAAATCTTTGAAAGATTTCTTTGAGAAAAAAAAAATTTAACTTTAATCTGGGACATAAAATCTTGTTGGTAAATTGAAATATATATTGAATATATTACCATACATTGCATATAAATGGCAACTAAGCACTAAGTATTTTGTTCACAATTTCCCCACTCCCATCTATTTTAAAATAAAGGGTATTTGTTTATGTGTATGTGTGTCCAGCTTAAACTACAATATGTAACAACTTAACCAGATTCTGATTCATCTTCAAAGAAAAGTTTTCATAATTTACTTCTGTACTTTTAATATAAGCAAAAATAGTTTAAATTAAGACATGTAATAGCATTAGATAAAATGTAGCCAAAAAATATGCTGATATTTTAGCCTTTCCAATTTAAACCTAATCTGATTCAATTATTTTTTAAATAAACAGTGGCCAAGTTAATGAATGAACTGTAGAATATTTTATACTGTTTGTTTAATAAAAGGTGATTTTTTTTAAAATTATTAATAATTTTTTTATTTATATAATGCACAAATAAAAAATTAAACTTTTAACACAAAAACATTAAACCAGTTTCTATTTTGTATAAACCCTATGTCATTCAATTATTTTTTTTAAATGAACATTGGTAAAGAATTAAATTGGAAATGAAAAGATTAGAAGAATATCAGAGCAATCATTTTATTTAATAAAGGACTTATTTGTTTTAAAATTGCATTTTCCTGTGAAAGACAAAGGCTCTTTCCTTACAAAAAAAAAAATTCTCACTTTTTATCCATTTCAACATTATTATGCATAAAAACTCTTTAACAAAAAAAAAGAAATTATTATTATTAAGTTTTAATTTACCAATATATTTTTTTATATAAGAGATATATATAGAGAGAGAAATAAATTGTTTATCAAAATCTTTCTTGGAACCTGCTGAATTGTCTTGTAATGGTCCAGGTTCCATTCTCAGTAGTTCATCCATTTTTGGGACTGATCAGCAATGCAAGGATGAAACGGTCGTATAGTGCTTTCTGCTGAGGATTCTTCTTCTAGACTCTTCTTCTAGAGTGCAGACGACCATTTCATCCTTTTTTAGATTTAGATATATTTCATCCTATGGAGAGTATTTCCATAATCAAATCAAGAAAAATACTTTAAAAAATGTTCCATTCTTCTTGAGATGAAGGCTAAATTTTCTCTTATGTACACACTTTGACAAGATGGATAATCTCATGCAAGAAGAGAAATTCAACTTAGGATTAAAAACTTTTCTCTTATTTATTTTGCTTATTCAAAATGTAACTGGTTTTATTTTTTCACAAATACTTTGTCCATCTCTTTTTATTGCATCAGCCATTCATCTTTAATTTGAAGAAAAATTTTATGAAATTCTGGTAAAAAAAAGTTTATATCTAATATAGAGAAGCAGAAGTGTGTTTGAAAAATTATTTTTCATTGTGTAAAAAAGTGTGATGAAATAGTTTGCATGAGAATTTTTCAGACCATAAAAAAATCCACAAATTAGTAAATTGTCTTTTTTTAAGAAAATTTTGTGGGGAATCATTTTTTATTCAAATCTCCTTTTATTAAAACTTATGAAATTTCAATAAAATCTTTGAACAGTAAAAATATTTACATTAAGAAATTACAGAGAGAAATTAAATCAGTTGAAATTTTATTTGAAATTTCAACAAGAAATTGAGAAAATATGCTTTGAATGTGAAAATAAAAATATTAAAAGCATTTCAATGACAGTATATTAATGAAATAGCTTCTAATGTCTCTAGATATTAATTCAGTAGAAAACATTAAAAATTAATCATTAAAGGAAATGTGTATGAGAATGGAAAATAATATTCAAGCAAAAATGATCCCTGGGAAGCAATAAAAGTAATATTGAAGCTGATAACAGTAGAAAATTTAACAAAAATCAATGGATAAAAACTGATGAAGGTTAGAGAATGTCGAGAGGAATATATTAACATGTAAAATAATAGAATAGTTTATTCAGGTATATAGGAGATTGTATTAATCAAGTATATGTTTCTGTGTTTTATATTTTTTTTTTTATTTATGAATAAAAATTTATGCTGTATTTAGTCTTTTCCTAAATTAAAACCTCACACTGAAAAGCATGTTACCAATGTTTTTAATAAGTGTAGATATAAGCTGAAACCCACATGATATATTGCTCATTTAAATATATCCCGAAAATGTTACCAACAGTGGTTGGTTAATAGTAATTTTATTGTGACAACATTGACCTGCATACTAAAATCTGACCTAGTATAAATGCATATGTATATACACATTAATATTTGTTACATGCATGTGTCTGTTTTTTTTATTATGTACTTTAATGCACGTCTTCATCCATAAATTTCTTATCTCTGCATTGGCTGATGAATTGTTAGGTGTTCACGGTGGTGAAAGCCTCTGTGCTATAAAACTGATTAGGCTACAGCTTCAAAGCAAGTTAAATATACATTTTGTGGTCTAAAGCCTACTCCTCTGCCATTACCTCTGATGTTGGTAACCTTTCAGTATGTAACTAGAAAGGTGATAGGTCATGGTAGTCAGAGGTACTGTTGTGGATAAACAATTCTTTGTATTGTTTTTTTTAATTTGTCAGGGTAAAGAAAAAACTGCACCAAGAAGAAAATGCAAAATCAACACACATCTTGGCTGCTGGATGTTTTTACTGATCAGCCTAGATCAACAAAAATAGCAGCACCTAGGGCTATGGTTCAGTTGTAGATTAGAGCAAGTAATCAGACCATAAATGTTGAGTTAGAGATCTTCATATTGCAAATTAATTCAAAGGAATAAATATTATTTTTCATTTGGATTTATAACTTTAAGATGCAGATTTTTCTTATTCATCATTTGTATGTGTACCCATTTTCTCTTAAGATATTTGCAGATTAACCTAACAGTTCAACTCCAGATAAGACCAATGGACTTTGATCTGTTTTTTTAATCAGGCCTATAATTTTCAAGACACATTTTTTCTCTGATCTGAAGGTATTGTAATGGCTGTGCATTTATTAATGATTAGAAACTGCTACATGTATCTACCACATAATATGCAAAGACATGCTCTCTTGGACTTGTGGGTACCTGATTTTTTTCTCTGCAAAAATAAGTAATCTTGACTAGTGTAATTGCTTCCCATAACAATTTGTATAATCTATAGGTGTTTTTATATACCTCAGTCTCTCCTGCCCCCTGTAGTGTTAGTATTGTTTATCTCTTTACTTTCTCCCAAGTCTGGGTTAAATAGCAGGTCTGACTGGTTTCTCTAATTTTGGATGGCAGCCAGTCTAAAAGAACAACTCAGAATTCTAAACTATGGAAAAGGCAATAGAAAATCATTCCACTACCTTTCACTTAATGTCCTGATATGACATTAAGAAAAATCTATCTTCATACAGTCTTGGTACTAATTTTGTTACTCCTATTAATTAGATCTCTGTACTTTTTGACATTATGGTAACCATGTAGCACCGGCAAGCAATGAAAATACATGAGTAACAAACAGCAGATATAAGGGTCATGTTAACATCCAAAATCTTGTCTGATCTGATCAACCCTACTATACTTTTGGTTTTGTAAACCTACTTTTCTCTCTGCCTACTAAACTTTATACATATATACATCTTGGTCTTTTTTCTTTTCTGTTGTTTCCCTATTACTACTGTGATGAAGTTTTATGTCTTTGCCTTGTCAAAGTCTCAAACATATCTAGGTTGTGAAGATGTTGCTGAAATTTCTTTTGGTGTGTGAATCCACTAA